GGGGGAACCGCATGCGAACTGCGCCACTGGGGCCTTCGGTGGAGCTCCCTATGGTGCCACGAAGCGCTGCCCTGGGTGGGGGAAGCGCATGCGAACTGCGCCACGGGGGCTTTCGGTGGAGCTCCCCATGGGGCCACGAAGCGCTGCCCTGGGTGGGGGAACCGCATGCGAGAGCAGCCACTGGGGCCTTCGGTGGAGCTCCCTATGGGGCCACGAAACGCTGCCCTGGGTGGGGGAACCGCATGCGAACACCCCCACTGGGGCCTTCGGTGGAGCTCCCTATGGGGCTACGAAACGCTGCCCTGGGTGGGGGAACCGCATGCGAACACCCCCACTGGGGCCTTCGGTGGAGCTCCCTATGGTGCCACGAAACGCTGCCCTGGGTGGGGGAAGCGCATGCGAACTGCGCCACGGGGGCTTTCGGTGGAGCTCCCCATGGGGCCACGAAGCGCTGCCCTGGGTGGGGGAACCGCATGCGAGAGCAGCCACTGGGGCCTCCGGTGGAGCTCCCTATGGGGCCACGAAACGCTGCCCTGGGTGGGGGAACCGCATGCGAACAGCCACTGGGGCCTTCGGTGGAGCTCCCTATGGGGCCACGAAACGCTGCCCTGGGTGGGGGAACCGCATGCGAACACCCCCACTGGGGCCTTCGGTGGAGCTCCCTATGGGGCTACGAAACGCTGCCCTGGGTGGGGGAACCGCATGCGAACACCCCCACTGGGGCCTTCGGTGGAGCTCCCTATGGGGCCACGAAACGCTGCCCTGGGTGGGGGAACCGCATGCGAACACCCCCACTGGGGCCTTCGGTGGAGCTCCCTATGGGGCTACGAAACGCTGCCCTGGGTGGGGGAACCGCATGCGAACACCCCCACTGGGGCCTTCGGTGGAGCTCCCTATGGGGCCACGAAACGCTGCCCTGGGTGGGGGAACCGCATGCGAACACCCCCACTGGGGCCTTCGGTGGAGCTCCCTATGGGGCTACGAAACGCTGCCCTGGGTGGGGGAACCGCATGCGAACACCCCCACTGGGGCCTTCGGTGGAGCTCCCTATGGGGCCACGAAACGCTGCCCTGGGTGGGGGAACCGCATGCGAACACCCCCACTGGGGCCTTCGGTGGAGCTCCCTATGGGGCTACGAAACGCTGCCCTGGGTGGGGGAACCGCATGCGAACACCCCCACTGGGGCCTTCGGTGGAGCTCCCTATGGGGCCACGAAACGCTGCCCTGGGTGGGGGAACCGCATGCGAACACCCCCACTGGGGCCTTCGGTGGAGCTCCCTATGGGGCCACGAAACGCTGCCCTGGGTGGGGGAACCGCATGCGAACACCCCCACTGGGGCCTTCGGTGGAGCTCCCTATGGGGCCACGAAACGCTGCCCTGGGTGGGGGAACCGCATGCGAACACCCCCACTGGGGCCTTCGGTGGAGCTCCCTATGGGGCACGAAACGCTGCCCTGGGTGGGGGAACCGCATGCGAACACCCCCACTGGGGCCTTCGGTGGAGCTCCCTATGGGGCCACGAAACGCTGCCCTGGGTGGGGGAACCGCATGCGAACACCCCCACTGGGGCCTTCGGTGGAGCTCCCTATGGGGCACGAAACGCTGCCCTGGGTGGGGGAACCGCATGCGAACACCCCCACTGGGGCCTTCGGTGGAGCTCCCTATGGGGCCACGAAACGCTGCCCTGGGTGGGGGAACCGCATGCGAACACCCCCACTGGGGCCTTCGGTGGAGCTCCCTATGGGGCCACGAAACGCTGCCCTGGGTGGGGGAACCGCATGCGAACACACCCCCACTGGGGCCTTCGGTGGAGCTCCCTATGGGGCCACGAAACGCTGCCCTGGGTGGGGGAACCGCATGCGAACACCCCCACTGGGGCCTTCGGTGGAGCTCCCTATGGGGCCACGAAACGCTGCCCTGGGTGGGGGAACCGCATGCGAACACCCCCACTGGGGCCTTCGGTGGAGCTCCCATGGGGCCACAAAGCGCTGCCCTGGGTGGGGGAACCGCATGCGAACACCCCCACTGGGGCCTTCGGTGGAGCTCCCTATGGGGCTACGAAACGCGTGAGAGGTGTGCCGAGAGCAGAGGCAAGGAGGGGGAGGAGGGAGGAGGAGGGGGAGGAAGGAGGGGAACGCGGGGCACCGTCTCTTCAAAACGAGGACCCAACACCACAGGATGGTTGGGAATTATCGGATCTCTCGGGAGGTCTGCTTGCTTACAGCCACCCTCTTCAACACACGAACTGCTCAGTGATTTTCTCTGCTGTAAGAGACGTTGCACCTCAGTTTCTCGATGGTCGTGCGGCGCAGCATTTGGAGACAACACCTGCGCATCACTGGCAACACCCACGATCAATTAGTTCAACCTTCTCGGGAACTTCATGTGAGCTGCCAGTCGCACCGAAATGCGTGCACTCTGACTGTAGTTTTGCCGCGCACGCGGACACAACAACAACAACAACAACAACAACAACAACAACAACAACAACAACAACAACAACAACAACAACAACAACAACAACAACAACAATACCAGCGAGCGCTGATTGCAAATAGATAGGAGGACAGGAGGAGGACGAGAGGAGGATGGGAGGACGAAAGGATGACTGGAGCAGGACGGGAGGAGAACGGGAGGAACAGAATGAAGCAAGCGCAAGCAAGTAGGCGGAATCAAGCAAGCGCAAGCGAGCAATAAAAAGCAAGCAAGAGCCAGCAATCAAGTGCAAGCAAGCAAGGGCAAGTAAAGGCAAGCAAATGAGAGCAAGCACGCAAGAGCAAACAAGCAAGTGCCATTGGAAAAAAAGGGGGGGCATTGGAAACAGGGGGGGGCATTGGAAAAAGGGGGAGGGGCTACAGACCAACTACTTATGATAAGCTAGGACTCCTATAGGGCAAGCCTATCTGGAGAACAACAACAACAACAACCACAACAACAACAACAACAACAACAACAACAACAACATCATCATCATCATCATCATCAGCATCATAAGTATCCTCATCAGCAGCAGCATCACCATCATCATCATCAGCAGCAGCATCAGCATCATCATCATCAGCAGCAGCAGCATCATCATCATCATCACCACCACCACCACCATCATCATCATCATCATCATCATCATCTTTCGCCGCCGCCGCGTGGGTCAAGCTCGTGCCAGGCGGGGGAGGTTTAGACCATAGCGCTCAAACGCTAGGGCGTGCAGAAGCTTCGGTCTTTCCCGCTGGTGGCATGCAGTGGAGTGCGCCGTGCAGCACTCCAGGAGAAGTGCAATAAACCAATTGTCTCTTCTGCTCTCGAACCGGTCCTTCACCGACGTCGGGAAGAGCAGGTCCAGCCGCTGTGGCTACTACATTTGTTAGAATTGGGTACATGCAAATTCGACCAAACGAGTCGGGGCCTTTCTGGCCCTCCCCTACATCATCTTCCGCGTCAAGGGTATGCGCAGGAGTGACTTCAGTTGCCCCTCTACTGGTCTGGAACATGAGTGGCGAGGCCAGCGACCGCGTGATTCAGTGGGCCTTCCAACAGTGGTCGGCCACCTCGCACTAGCATGGGGTCAGAGTATATTGGTTGCGAGCGTCTTTCCGCATCACGGACCTGTTCACCGTCGGGTTTAGTCTCTGCGGACGCTCGCCTTCCTGGTGGTGATCTCTTCGGCTCGGCGCGTGCGAGACGCACTCCAGCATCGCCATCCGCCACGCTGGGCATGTCGCGTTGCCCGTCTTCTTCCACCAGGTTGGTTGGCCTCATTCCAGGACCAGGGCAGCATGTTCCACACGGCGCTGCAGGACGTCCTCAGTGGGCACCCTCCGTCGTGCCTTTCGGCGCTTGGTGCTGTCCAGGGCCAGGCCATGGTGTAAACGCTGTTCACACATTCTGGCTGGTATGTGGGCAAGTGCAATGTGGTCCGCCATTCTCATGCTCATGGTCTGGAGTTCCAGTGCGCGTTCCAGATGCGCTTGTGGGAGCATTTCCGCGCCTTGTTCAGGCCGCAGTCCACGGAAGGGCGGCGCCGACGATATCGACCTCTTCGGCACTCCATCGCGAGTCTGGGCATGCTTCCATGCATTGTTGCGTCATCGATTGAGCAGGCGTCCTCCTTGGAAGCCGTGGCGATCAGGGCAGAGGCTCCGACGGGGAATTCTGCTGAGAGGGGGCCGAGCACCGCGCAACGTCCACGACGGGTGGCGCATAAGTCCAACATTCGCTGCCGGCCATCCTCCTGGCGCCGGGAGCGAGCATCGGGGTCGTCAAGCGTATGGCCTCGTGTATCTCATCTTCCGCAGCTTCTGGATGGTGCCAACGCTCACGATGATGGTTTTACCAGTATGTATCGCCGACAGCAGGAAGAGAGAGCGGCTCAGACGGGCCAGTCCGGCCCACTATGGTTGTGGTGCCCTGAACACGTCTTGGAATTTTGGGCATTTCTGGCGACTCGGCGGCCCATGCTGTACATGCCGCGCTGGTGGCGCGGCGATTTTGCTCAATGTCTGTTTCGAGCAGCAGACATTGCAGATCGAGTCGTTACAACGGCGACGCGGCGGCAGGGCATAAGAAGCAGATCGAGTTCTTCTTGCGGCAGCTTGGCATGGTGCTTCGAATTTCCGCTCTTCTGATTCCTCCAGGGCTCCATCCTGTGCGAGGGCGCGGCCTCGTTCGCAGCTTGGTTCGTGATGCTCTCAATGAGGTACGCTGCGCACCATATCGCGCTTGGCTCCAGGACCATCTCCGAGTCCAAGCATCCAGGCAGCGCAGGTGGAAGGACGTGGTTGACGCGAATCGCCGATGCCGGGCCATGTCGGCGCCGCCCTCGGCGCCATTCGCGGGCATGCCCATCGCCCTTCCATTTTCGCTCAGTGCTCTCTCTCTGGGCAGTGGCTGCTGCCGCGCTGGCCGCGGGCGGACGACATCCGCAGTGGGCTGTTACGATCCTGGCACTCGTGGTCTGGGGCGACGCTGTTACCTGGCCGGGTACGTCACCGCAGTGGGGACAGGGTGAACGCTTTTCTGGAGCAGCAGCGGTTTCCCGACCAGCCTCTCGAGTGGGTCGGCTTGGAGGCGCGCATGGAGGAGGAGCTGGACATCGTGGGTGACCAGATCATCATGGCAGACGATCGTCGCCCAGACAGGCTGTGGGCGTCACCCGCGGCGGACGTGGCATCATACCTTCGGAGCTCGGTTGCGGCGGATACGAATTGGAAGGTGCGCCCAGAGTTGTCGGTCGTGGACATCGAGGTCTGGCAGCGAGCGCAGGCCCAACTTGGGATTCCCGCCCCACTCTGGCCGGGGGCTCCGCCACCAGGCCGGCACGGGCACGGATCCTTCAAGCATCCCGAGCGTCTCCAACGGGGTGTGGAGCATGAAGGAGGCGAAGCATGCCGTTGACGACACGATGGTGCTGTCGCGGGCTCCTCCCCAGGCCTGCTATCTCCAATGCCACCGTCGTCTGGATGGATGTCTTCAAGGTGTACTGTGTGACGTTGATCAAGCCTTTGAGGCAGCTGCTCAAGCTGGGCGTGATTGGGAGTACCTCGCAAACATCGGGCGGCAGAAATACGCAGCTGACGGCTGCAGCGGGGAGCTCAAGATCGGCGTGGCCAAAGGCTCCGTGGACAAGGCACGGGTTGGCCGTTGTGGATTCTTACGTCGTGCATGGTGCTTCGGCCTCGGGCAGCTTCATCGGGCCACCCTGGCGTACTGCATGTGCTCCCTGGTGGTGGGGTGCGGGGTCGTTTTCGAGTCAGCTGGGATCGCCATCGGCGGCGCCATGTCTTCCGCCTGCGTCGCTGTCTCACTCGGAGCACAAGAGGCCCGTTGGAGACATCTTCATCGCCACCGGTTTTCACAGCAACACACCATCGATGACATCGTTGCTTGGCGACGCTACGTAGATGATATCTTGTGTTTTTCCAGGTCGATTTGTAGACAGTGCTTGTTTCAGATGCTGTCAGAGGCGTTCGAGGTCCAGCTGTCACCGGTGTCAGATCTGCTAAGAAACGGCCCAGACTTGGGTGTGCGGCTGGATATGCACATATATACATTTCAGGCCAAAGGCATTTCATTACACCAAAGAACCTCAACCGTCCGTGGCTCTATTCTGATGGGGTGCGAGAGCGCAGGTCCATCGTTTCCTGGCCTGGTCGCCCTCCTGGAGGTTTTTCGCGCTCACTCCAATTGCTGCTGGCTCCCCTGAGCCGTGCGAGAGACCTGGAATTATCTTCGGACATCTTGTGCTTCTGGCTGCTGGAAGGGGGCACTGGAATTTTTTTCGCCACGGCTATCCGCCGTCATTCATTCGAGCTCTCTTGCATTCGCTGCCCGCTGGACGAGGGGCTCAAGCTGCACGCGCGGCTCGGCGGGTATTTCAGCGCAGCGCCAAGGATATGGCGAAGCATCAGCAGCAGTGGCAGCAGAGGTCCAGGCCATGGGGCGCACCGCCAAATCAGGAAGATCGCGGGCATGCAGGCCGCAGTTCTCGTGACGAACCTGGCCGGCATTCCGATCGTGGAACACGCGACCGCCGTCCGAACCGTCCGAGCTCTGCTCGCCGTGCCAGGCGCTGTTCTCCGTCGACTTCGTCATCTCATACTGAAGTGGCCCTGGGACACACAAATATATACACACAAATAAAAATATCCCCCATATTTTCCCATATTTTCTGGGTTTTTGTCTTCCCCCCACTTCCCATATTTTCCCAGAATTTCCTGGGAGTGGACGACTAATTGTGTCTGTGTGTTGTTTCCCCTCCTGATATTCGTCGGATACCCATCGGGAGCGCCGCACGGAGCGCCCTCGCCGGATCCCGTCGCGCTCGGACGCGGGCTTCCGGGCAGGGCAGGCCGAGGTTGAGGAGCGCAAGCCCGAGGAGGCGCTCGAGACGCAGAGTGCCGCGCTGGCGGAGGCGTGGGCCCGAACTCGACGCCATCGTCCTGGGTGCCGCCGCGCCGTCGGGCCTGCGCGGGTTCCCGCCCGCGCCGCCAGGTGGGAGCTCCCCATCGCCGGCGGCCATCGCGGTGGAGGTCGCGAAGATTTTGAAGGACAACCAGATTGGACGGCCGGGTGCGTCCTCGGCTACGCCGCCCGAGGACTCCGAGGACACCCTTTCGAAGACCCAGGCTGCATGGCTGGCGCAGGTGATCTCCCCGGCGGGCTCCAAGAGGACGGTGAAGTTCACGGACGTCTCCAAGGATGCCGTAAAGAAGGTGCTGGTGGACAGGCTCAGGGACCCCGCGGGCGCCAAGCACATGGCGAAGTTTTGGGACGGCCACATCAAGCGCAAGAAGATGCCGAAGGCTTTGGATAAGCGTGCCGACGACATCATCGAATGGTTCAGCAAGCAGTGAGGTGACAACCTTCTCTCGATGAACCTGGTCGGCCTCTTCGCAGACCCGTACACGTCCAAATACAGATTCCTCAATCCATCGCTTCTCGCGTAACTGGTGTACGCCTTCATCTTGGGGTGGTGGTTCGGCAGCGCAGCAAGTTCGAGCCCACATGTTCCAGAATTGTTGGCGCCGTATGTCCGAGTGGTGCAATCGCAGTGGAATCTTCACTGCGGGATCGCTACGCTTGGAAGGAGGTGCAATGGGCTGGGCAATGGGTCATGATTTTCATACAGACGTATGCGACGCAAGATTGGCAAGCTATGATTCCGACCGCTCTTGCGGACGCACCACAGCCGCTCCAGGGAGGAGGTGGTGGTCCTGCTTCGGTCTTGTGTATTGTAGGGGGCCTGGTCGCCGCAGCCAGGAGACGAAGGGCGGTGTGACGAGACGCAGTCCGTGCCGGCGCTCCGAGCCCTATGATTCAGGCTGTTTGATGTCCTGATTTATTTAGAGCAGCAGTACAGTCAAAGACCCTAATAAGAACGCGCGGTAAGGACGCAAGACCCTTGGAAGCCGAAGATGGGATTTTTGGGGCGGCGGACGACGAAAACCCCAAGGACGCAAGAGCAAGGAAGAGCAAGGGCGCAAGGGTACCCTGAGCAAAGTCGCGCGTCCTTATTAGGGTTTTTGACTGTAGCACGCTGACCCTGTGCCTTGGTGCTGCACCCAGCTTTGTACGGAGGGCTCATCATCATTCGCCGCCGCCGCGCGGGTCGAGCTCGCGCCAGGCGGGGGAGGTTTAGACCATGGCGCTCAAACGCTAGGGCGTGCAGAAGCTTCGGTCTTTCCCGCTGGTGGCATGCAGTGGAGTGCGCCGTGCAGCACTCCAGGAGAAGTGCGATAAACCAATAATCATCATCATCATCATCATCATCATCATCATCATCATCATCATCATCATCATCATCATCATCATCAGCATCAGCATCAGCATCAGCATCATCATCGCCACCATCATCATCAGCATCAGCATCAGCATCAGCATCAGCATCATCATCAGCATCATCATCATCGTCATCATCATAACCATCATCATCATCATCATCATCATCATCATCATCGTCATCATCATCATCATCATCATCATCGTCATCATCGTCATCATCCTTGGCGGCGGCTACATGTGGCGATTCCTTCGCGAGCAGCTCCTCAACAAGCGGCTCTGATTGGCCCTCCAACTGGCGGCGGTTCCCACAAGACCTCCCACTGGCGGCGCGGCTCCAACGCAGGCGGACCCCACTGGCGGTTCCCATGGCGGCCCGCGCAGGCGGTTCCCACTGGCGGTTCCGACTGGCGGCGGTTCTTACGCCGGCGGCCCGTACGCACACGGCTCGCACTGGCAGCCCCCGCTGGCAGCGGTTCCTACGCAGTCCGCCCCCGCGCAGGCCGCTCCTACTGGCGGCGGTTACTGCGCAAGCGGACCCTACGCAGGTGGCTCTTACTGGCCATCCCACAAGCGGCAGCTCCCACTGGCGGCGGGTCCTGCGGCGGCTCCAACACAGGCGGTCCCACCAGCGGCTCCAATGGCGGCTCCCGCAGGCGGCCCCCAGTCTCAATTCCAACTGACCGCGGCTGCTACGAATCTGGCCCTTACGCACGCGGTTCCCGATGGCGGCCCCCGCTGACGGCGGCTCCTTCGTGGGCGGCTCATACGCAGGCCGCCCCTCAGACCTTCCACTGGCGGCGGCTCCTGCGCTGGCGGTTCCCGTTCGCCCTCCCACTGACGGCGGCTCCTACGCAAGCGTCTCCTACGCAGGCGGCTCACTCGGGTAGTTTCCACTGGCGACCACTCCTACGAAGGCGGCTCCTCGCAGGCCGCTCCTACTCAGACGGCCCCTACGGTGGCAGTTCCCGCTGGCCTACTGGCGGCGGCTCCTATGCGGCGGCTCCTACGCAGGTGGTTCCCACTGGTGGCGGCTCCTACGCAGCGGCCCCCACTGACGGCGGCTCCTACACAGGCGGGTTCCCTCCTTTGGCAATGGCGTCTGCAAGCCTTGTCTTTTGCTCCCACTTCAGAGCCCAGCCGTGTAACATGCTGATTGTGTGTAGCATCTTATTGTCTGTATTCCCAAACGACAACCGCGTCTAGAAGTAATCAACCTCCTCATCACCCCCAACACCACTACCACCACCATCACCATCATCATCATCATCAGCAGCAGCATCATCAGCAGCAGCATCTTCATCATCATCATCATCATCCTCATCATCATCATCATCATCATCATCATCATCATCATCAGCAGCAGCAGCAGCATCAGTATCAGCATCATCATAGTCAGCATCATCATCATCATCATCATCATCATCATCAGCAGCAGCAGCAGCAGCAGCATCATAATCACCATCATAAGCAACATCATCATCAGCAGCATCATCATCATCATCAGCAGCAGCAGCGACAGCATCATGATAAACATCAGAAGCAGCAGCAGCATCATCGGCATCAGCGGTATCATCAGTATCATCATCATCGTCAGCATCATCATCATCATGATCGTCCTCATCAGCTCCATCATCATCATCATCAGCACCAGCATCATCATCAGCATCATCATCAGCATCATCATCAGCAGCATCATCAGCAGCATCATCAGAAGCATCATCAGAAGCATCATCATCATCATCACCAGTAGCAGCATCGTCATCATCATCGTCAGCATGATCGTCATCATTATCAGAATTATCATCAGCATCAGCATCAGCATCCTCCTCATCATTATCAGCAGTAGCATCAGAAGCATCGTCAGCAGGGTAGTCATCATCATCATCAGTATCATCATCACCAGCATCACCATCATCATCATCAGCATCATCACCAATATCAGCATCATCAGCATCAGAATCAGCATCATAATCCTCCTCCTCATCCTCCTCATCATAGCAGCAGCCGCATCAGTATCCAGATAGTCTTGCCCTATAAGAAGTCTAACTCATTCTCTACTAATTGGTCCGTTGCCCCCCCCCCCATGATTCCTATGCCCCCCCCTCATTCCTATGGCTATGCCTA